TGGAAGCCCAGGGCTCCCCCCTCCCCAAGGCAGCCTGTTTGCTGCCACCCACCACAGCCCGGCTCACCTGCTCCCGGGTTCCCAGCGCCAGGCCTAGGGCAGGGCAGCCCCACTCAGGCGCTGTGTCCTGGCAGCGCCAACTTCGCCAAGACCCAGTCATCACCCTCTCCCGCAGCCTGCAGGTGGTGACTTTGCTGCAGTTGGGAAAATAGTTGGAGCTGGGTATTCTTTCACTTTTGAAAAAGACATCTCGCGATTGTAAACCAATACCTCGCTTTACACTATTCATCCATGGAGATTTTCAATCTAGGAGTGAGACTCCTGCCAGATGGCAGCCGGTCGCACTCCTTGAGGTGCCTGCCAAGGAAGGCCAGCCCCAGCCAGCCGAGCACCCGGTATCCGAAAGCCACCCGACCCCATGCGGAGGGAGAGGCTCACTCAGGAAGACCGGTCTCTTTCTAAGAAGAACCCAGCATGCCTTTGGAGGCAGTTCAGGTGAAGAAGGCAGGAAAGGGCAGTGGTGGTGGAAACAGTTTAGGGGGAGGAAAGGGAAGGGGGGCTGTCCCGAGGGCGGGGCCCCAGCATCTGTGGGGAGCATCTGCTGCCCCGGGGCTTCGTGCCGGCCAGAGGGGCCTGAGTATGAACTCACTCCCATTAGAAATGGAAGCACACCCAGTGCTCCGGACAGATGCCCGTCCACTGCAGGAGCTCCTGCGGGCGGATCTGCCTGTGGAGCATGCACTTGCACCCAGGTGACCCAGCTCAGTTAGACTGAAGAACCTCCTGGAGCACCAGGCAACAGGATCCTTGCGCCTCTCCGCCCATCCAGTGGGAGGTGCCCACGCAGGAGTCTCCTGGGAGGGTCCCTTTGGAAGGCTGCTGTGTGCTGCAGAGGCTCAGATGTGGCCAGACAGCCGCTCTCCTGGGCCGGGGGCCGTACGCTGGCCACTCCGGCCACAGATGGCTGCTTCTGTTTTGTAGTGAGAGACTTTCTCAACCAGGCCTGGCTGTGGCTCTGCACACGCCAGTCTCTTAGGCTGCAGGAGAGACCCCAAATGTCCCAGACCAGTGGCACTGGCCACTGTCTCCTCTGTCCCTGTCCCTGACCTGCACCTGACCCGGCCCCAGCGCTGACCTCGGCCTCCCACCTGCTGCCCTCCCCATCTTGGCCGGGCTGGGGCCATCACTCACACCCTTCCTCGGCCTATGAGTCCATTCCCACGTTGCTATAAAGAACTGCCCAAGACTGGGTAATTTATACAAGAAAGAGGTTCAGTTGACTCACAGTTCTGCATAGCTGGGGAGGCCTCAGGAAACTTACAGTCATGGCGGAAGGGGAAGGAGAAGGAGGTCCCTTCTCCACAGGGCAGCAGGACGGCGTTCGTGAAAGCGGGGGGCACGCCAGACTCTTAGGAGACCGTCAACTCTCCTGAAACTCACGCACGCTCACGAGAACAGCACGGGGTGGGGGGAACAGCCCCACCCACTCTCACGAGAACAGCACGGGGTGGGGGGAACTTCCCCCACTCACTTTGATGAGAACAGCACGGGGTGGGGGGAACTGCCCCCACTCACGCTCATGAGAACAGCATGGGGGGGAACCACCCCACTCACTATCACGAGAACAGCACGGAGGTGGGGGGTAACCGCCCCCACTCTTACAAGAACAGCACGGGGGCACCACCCCCGTGATGCAGTCACCTCCACCTGGTCCCACCCTTGATATGTGGGGACTGTGGGGAGCACAGCTCAAGGTGAGACTTGGGTGGGGACTCAGCCAAACTGTCACTCAGCTTCCCTCCGGTTTCCTGCTCTCTTCTCCGGCACTGCCTCCCAGGGTAGCCGGCAGCTCCTGCCTAGGGGCCTGGGGCCACAGTTCCTGGCTCCTGTCCCACTGCTCAGGCAGGCGATGCTCAAGTCCGTCTCCTCTGCAGCAGCCCTGAGCCCTGCTCCCTGGCCCTGTCCTGACAGGGCTGGCAGAACTCTTCGGGGAAATGTTGGATTCCTGGTCACCCTTGCCCCTCCAGGCCTCCCAAGCTCTCCCCTCCCCTCCAGCCCAGGCACCCCCACCCCAGGCTGCCTGGGTCCTGCCCAGCCCCCAGCACCAAGACCGGCCTCCTGCTCCCCTCGGGCTCCTTGGCCTTGCTCACCTCCCGCTGTCCCGGGGCCAGGTGTTTCAGGCACTGCCTGCTCATGGCTTGTTCAGGGCCTCAGCCCCCGGCCTCCTTCTGTGCCCATTTCCTCTGTCATGTGTTTCATCTGGTGCTGGGCACGGCGCCAACATGGACGCTGCTGGGCACGGCGCCAACATGGACGCACTGCCTATCTGCCCCTCAGTGTGCCCCTTGCAGCTTGGCTGGTGAGTGCCAAAGCGTGGAGGAGGCGGGGGCTGGCAGAAGATGCAGCCCAGGATGACCCTGGGCTTGGCTCACCACTGAGGATGATGCCGCTTGGGGCTGTGCTGCTGTGCCTGGGAGGAGAGGAGGCCCCGGTGCCCCTCTGAACGAAGCGCGCAGTCGTGGTTCACTCCTGTGACTGAGCTGCAACAGCTCACGCCACGCAAATGGGCCAGGCCACGGAACAGCCGAAAGTGTGTCCCAATTTTTTTTTTTTTTTTGACACAGGGTCTCACTCTGCTGCCCAGGCTGGAGTGCAGTGGCGCAATCTCGGCTCCCTGAAACCTCCGCCTCCTAGGTTCAAGTGATTCTCCCATCCCAGCCTCCGAAGTAGCCAGGATTCCAGGTGTGCACCACATGCCAGGCTAATTTTTGTATTTTTAGTAGAGACGGGGTTTTGCCATGTTGGCCAGGCTAAGTGTAACACCATTTTTATTAAAATCAAAACAAAGGACCTCAGTCCCACAAAACAGGAATTCTGAGAGACCAGAAACAGTTCTGGAAGGTGCCGTGCTATGGGTAGAGGAGTCCCTGAGGGTGGAGGCCTGGGGACGCCCCTCAGCCACTCCATCTCCAGGCACCTGCCACAGCTGGGGCCACAAGGATCAGAAGCCATGATGGTAGCAAAAGAGTCAGTCAGATATTGATTTAGTGCCTACTGGAGTAAAATACCGATTACACTTTGATGGATTAAGTAGAAGGCGCAAACCACATCACTGGCACATTTGAATGTGAGGCATGGAGCCACCTGAGGAGTTCGTAGTTGGTCTCATTGTTTTATGTCCATGCTGTGCATTTGCTTCTGAAGGACCATTTTGGGGTCTGCACCTCTTGTGAAAACAAGAATCCAGTCTAAGGACTTAGCCTGTGGCTCTGCGTGGTCTCTGCATATGGCAGTTTCTGAGCACCATAGCCTCTGCCACCATGTTCTTTCCTCCAATGCCTTCCTGTGAACAAACCCAGCCAGGCTTGGGCACCACGCAGGCTCCAGCACCACGCAGGCTCCCTCCGTCTAGTGTCCTCTGGTGTAGCAGGCCAGCATTGCCACAGAGGCCATGGGCCGCTCGGATGGGAGTGGATGGAGATGTGGCTGAGGTCACTGCTGACCCGGAAGTATTTTGCCTGCATTTGTTAACTAGCTATGAAACTAGACATTCTCCCACTGCCAGCAAAATGACCATTTTTCATTTAATTTGCGTACAACGGCATTACTGATAGCAAACATCTTGAAGGAAACAAAGTGTGGTCAAGTTGAGCAAACATTGCATTATTTTCCCAAAGAATGCTGCGTGAACTTGGGGGCTCTGTCGGCATCTGTCAATCCAGGGAATGACTTCTTTCCTCTTGGCTGAGTTCCTTCCCCAGCATTACCTCCAAATCCTGCCCAACACTAGTGACATCTGTCTATGAACACTAGTTTTGTTCTCAAATATTTTTTTCCCTCAAAACTCAGAAGCTTAGCAAGAAAAGAAAAATTACAATGAGAAATGTGTCGGCCAGGGGCGGTGGCTCACGCCTGTAATCCCAGCACTTTGGGAGGCCAAAGCGGGCATATCATGAGGTTGGGAGTTCGAGACCAGCCTGGCCAACATGGTGAAACACCATCTCTCCTAAAAATAATAAAAAAAAAAAATTAGCCAGACGTGGTGGTAGGTGGCTGCATCCCCAGCTACTCAGGAGGCTGAGGCAGGAGAATTTCTTGAACCTGGGAGGTGGAGGTTGCAGTCAGCTGAGATTGCACCACTGCCCTCCAGCCTGGGGGACAGAGCAAGACTCCATCTCAAAAAAAAAAAAAAAAATTGCTTGAAAAAAATCCTACTTGGATAACTGTGGTAATTCTAGAAAAAAAAAAAAAAAAAAAGAAGTAAAAAGAAAACAAAAGAAAAAAGAGAAATGCGTCCACTCCACTGGCACTTCTGGACTTCCCGCAACACACGCAGAGAGCTAGAAACACATGCTCTTGTTGGCAACTGCCTCCCCACGCTGTCACTGTGAGGGCCTTGCCGTGCTGGCTGATGAGATGGACGTGGTGCTCAGACGGGCAGGTGACGTGGCTTACCTGTGTCCTCACCCAGTCTCATCTGTGGCTCCCATAATTCCCATGTCATGGGAGGGACCCGGTGGGAGGTAACTGAATCATGGGGTTGGGTCTTTCCCGTGCTGTTCTCATGATGGTAGGTCTCATGAGACCTGACGGTTTTGTGAGAGGAGTTCCCCTGCACCTGCTCTTTGCCTGCTGCCATATAAGATAGGCCTTTGCTCCTTCTTCGCCTTCCGCCATGAATGTGAGTCCATTAGACCTCTTTCCTTTTTATATATTACCCAGTCTCCGTCGGTGATGTCTTTATTGGCAGCATGGTAACAGACTAATACAGCAGGGAACCACTTTTTCACTAAAAAAGGCAATTTTGTAAAACATCCAGACAGTGGCACGAAACTACTCCATGGACAGAGGTGACAGAGCACTGCCGAGGCGGGACTCCCACCTGTCCTCACGCAGCGCATGCAGCCCAGAACAGCAGCGCGGGCTGGAGGGAGGATGTGTGAGGCTGCACAGGTCGTGGGGGACTCAGCCCAAGGTCATGTCCTGGCCCTGAAGCACAGCTACCCCGTGAGTAGTGGAGACAGCTCCCACTGCCTGCAGCCCAGCTCACAAGACACCATCAGGCAGGACAACTCATGGGCAGTGGTGGGGGCAGGGGTGAAGGCCTGGCTGCTGCGCAGCCACATGGGAGCAGCGGAGCCCGCAGATGAGGCGCCACCCACTTCTAGCCCAGGATGCACATGAAGAGCTGAGGGCACTGCCCCTTCCTCTGCAGCCCTGCCCCCGCCAGCCTCTGTGCCCTGTCACAACCGCACGCTGGCCCTGGGCTCCCACAGCCTTGCTTTCACACAGCTCACAGCTTCCTGCGTCATCCCTCAGGCCTGCGCCAGGCTGAACGTGGGCTTCACGCACGGCATGAGGACAGGTGGGAGTCCCGCCTCGGCTATGAGTCTGTCACCTCCATCCACGGAGTAGGCTTGTACCACTGTCTGGATGTTTTACTAAATTTTGCCTTTTCCAGTGACAATTACTGGAAAGGAAAGGCAGGTGTGCTGGGGCAGGTCAGCGGCAAATCCAGGCATGGGGCTGCCCCTGGTGAATGTCTGACAGACCCAGGGGCTGCCAAAAGCAGGCTCAACTGTGAAAAACGACAAAAATAAAGAACAGGAAATGCTACAAGTATGGCCACAAGTTATGTCTACAAAGGTGAAGTGATGGAAGAAACTGAAATTTTAAAATCAGGGGCAATCATCAGCCCCCAGACAGAAGCAGCTGGCACTGCCTGAAGAGAGGGTGAGGCAGTGGCAGCTGGCCTGGAGGGGAATATTTCTGGGCAGAGTTTTCAAAGACATCCGCTAAGGAATACCACAGGCATGAGGACAGCCCTGGCCACGCTCCTTCACAGGGCCAGCCCCACAAATCCACCTGCTGAAACCAAGGCAGCTGCTGCAGAACCAGGCCCACTAGGTGAACCATGAGAATGGTGGCTGAGGGAAGATAATGGGTTTCTATGGCTTATATTTCACCTGTAGCCTAGAGCTTAATACATGACCCCTCATGCACAGATCACATGACATGCACAGGTCACATAACAAACACAGGTCACATAACATGCACAGATCACATGACACAGTCACATGACATGCACACAACACATGACACACACAGGTCACATGACAGGTCACAGGACACAGGTCACATGACAGGCACAGGTCACAAGACAGACCACATTACCTGCACAGATCACATGACATGCACTGGTCACATGGTGCACAGATCACATAACATGCACAGATCACAACACACACAGATCACATGACATGCAAAGATCACATAACACACAGGTCACAACATGCACAGTCCACATAACACCCCCAAGTCACATACAGGTTATCACATAAAATGCACAGGTCACATAACACAGATCACATGACACAGGTCACATGACATGCAAAGATCACAACATGCACAGGTCATATACAGAGATTAACATGCACAGATCACATAACACAGTTCACATAAAATGCATAGTACATAATATGCACAGGTCACAACACACAGATCACATAACATGCACATATCATATGACACACACAGGTCACATGACACAGAGGCCATATAACATGCACAGGTCACATGACATGCACAGGTCACATGACACACAGGTCACATAACATGCACAGATCACATAACACAGGTCATACAGCATGCATAGATCACATAACATGCACAGGTCACGTAACACACAGGTCACATAACACACAGATCACATGACACACAGGGTACATGACATGCAAAGGTCACATAACATGCACAAGTCACATGACATGCACAGGTCACATAACATGCACAGATCACATAACACGTCATACAGCACACACAGATCACATAACATGCACAGGTCACATAACATACACAGGTCACATAATCACATGACACACAGGTCATATGATGCACAGGGCACATGACATGCAAAGGTCACATAACATACACAAGTCACACAACACACACAGGTCACATGACATGTGCAGATCACATAACACACACAGGTCACATAACACACAGAGATGAGACATTGATGCCAAAATTCGATTCACAATTTTACAACATTTTGAAATTTCTGGAATGAAACTTACAACATGCACATCACCACAAGATTTCTGCACATCTGGCTGCAGCACAAGTTTTCAGGACAAAGTAAGCTCATGGAGGGGACAGACATGAGTGTGCCATGGCTTCTGGAAGGACCGAAGGCACATGGGGCAGCCCAGGCGTCCTGGTGTCTAGAGGGCCCAGGGGAGGCAAGGGAGGCTGCTGTGAAGGCAGGTACGACAGGTGCATGCCTCGGCTGCAATAAAGTCTCTGTGCAGCCTGCAGGGCCCCAGCTCCACCTGCAGTGAAGGTGAGGATGCTCCTGCCCCATGGGGTGCTCGGGTGCTGCGAGATCAACTTGAGTGAGATAACGAAGTTCTTTGACACTTTTTAGGTAAATGCAAATTAGAAGACGAGAACTAACCCCAGGAGCTTCTTTTCCAACCCAGTATGGTCCGGACTGGTGGGAGCGACCCAGGGTCTGAGCCACTCTGGGAGCCGCGTGCACGGGGGCGTATCCCACAGGGGCCCGTCCCGCCTGACAGAGGAGGAGGCTCCCCACATGCAGGGCATGCCTGCAAGGTGAACTCTGGTCCAGAATTAATCTCTGGATTCCCCCACTGAACCTGGCATCACACGCCAGCTGTGAGTATTGTGAGAACAGAATGTGTCGTCATGGGGTAACACAGGGTGTGGCGGAGTTGACCCATGCTGCGCGCACCTCACAGCAGACCTGCCCGCCCTGCACTGCCTGCACCGCCTGTCCCCCCAGAGCCACAGCTGGAACCTTCTCACAGTGACCTAACAGGCAGGTGCTCGTTTTGCCTCCAGCATCAACATTTTCAGGAAGTTCCAAGGTGTTACAAGTTTAAACATATCGCATATATGCCACCCCTGATAATCAGAAAGATACTTTATTCAACTACATTAATTATTTCATCAAGAGAGAAAGGACAGGTGCACATGCTGGTGGGACGCGGGCTGGAGGGCAGGAAGGTGGCAGAGCGGGTGGCAGGCTGCTCACCTTTCACGCATCACTGCCCCCATGTGAGCGGGTCCCGCAGGAAGCATCGGGTCACAATAAAAACACGTCAGCTCTGTCTTTGAAAGGACTTCCAGCTTCACACTGTGGAGGAAAATGAGGGTGCACATGTTACACATAAAAAGTAAGGTGGGAAGAAGAGTTCATTCACTCAAATGAGTATTTAAAAAATCCAGATGTCAGGTTAGTGTTTTCATAGAGTATTATCAATATGTTTAAGTCATAATTTTTGGAAATTCACAACGAATATAAAAGTGAACATTACTATGTTTCTGAGCTACTAAGGCAGAGCTCAGAAACACAACTCTTGAGAACATTTAGAGCTCTGTGTCTGCCCTTGGCACACGTTAAGTTAAAGAGTTCCCTGACACGTGCACTTTCCCAAGAACGTTCTCCTTCTGAGGCTGGCAGAGCACTTGCCTGAACACTGCCTCTGCAGCAGGCTGGAGATGCTGATGGGCGGCTTGGGGGGCAGCCCGGCCTGGGAGACCCCGAAGCTTGGAGAGCCGCCTCTTCCCACTCTATTTGGCAACTGTGGTGCTGGTGTTAGTGATGGTCCCTTGTAGGGGATTTGCAGAGGTGGAATCCTAATAAATGCAAGAAACACAAAATCACGAATGCTTCGAGCATCTCTGGTGACATGACAATGAGAGCACTGGCCATTCTGCGGTTTTAAAGGCTGGGATTAAAAAGCACCTCTGAGTACCTCGGACCAGCAGGGCCCGTGTAACGCCCAGGGCTGACGGCCACATGGGCACCCTCTCGCTGGCGGTGGCGGGAGAGGCCCTCTCTGGCCGGGCTGCCTATGGGCAGGACCTACAAGGATGGCTCCTGAGAGGGTGATCAGCGGGCACTCCTGCTGGAGGCCTCCCTGCATGGTGCCGACAGTCGAGTTACATCAGTGCCTTCTCCCGGGGCCAGTATCATTAAGTGGCTGAGCAGAAACAACAGAGAAGGCATCCAGGGTCTCTGCTGACTCCCATTTGCAGTGGACACCCAGACCTGCGCTTTCGTCCCCAGGGCTACGTTCGTCCCCAGGAGTCGGCAGAGACCGCCCGGGTCCCCTGGCCTGTGGCTGCCACTGCACCCAGGCTCCAATCCTGACTCCTCATCAAGGCCAGCACGCCCTCATCTCGAGGCCCTCACTCCGTCCTCCCCCACAGCCAGCCTCTGCTTGCCCGTTAACCTCAGGGTCCTCTCGGTTTCCACTCTCAGCACTCCCAAGGCTCCGGAAGCTTCTGTGGCCAGCTTATCCATCTGCATGCTTCTGACTGTGCCCTCCAGGTGATGAGTCCTGAATCATGTCCCCAGCTCACATCCAGCCTCAGCCTCCTCCCAGGGCTGTGTTTCCTCGCCTGCATTTTGCTGCTCTATCAGTCTTTTATTTTCTGTATTTTATGAGGGTCTGCTGTCTTGGGGCCTTGCTATTCCTGAAAACACAGCTCCGTCCAGAGCTGGCTAATTCCTGGAGGTGGCCAACAGTATTCATGAACACACTGTTCCAGGCAAGCCCCCCGGCCCAGGGTACAGTCCCTAAGCCCCTCCTTCCTCTAATTCTCACCAAGCCACGCTTGCCTGCCCTGAAGACCAGACATGAAGGACTGCCTCCATAGCCAGATCCACCACACAATTCCACACAGACGACCCTGAGCCACTTGTGCTGCCCCACCTTTCCCCAGGACACACAGCAGGGATTGGCACACATGCCCCTCGCCCCGGCCTCCTCGAGGGAACTGCGAGGGAGCTCCCCGACAAAGCTGCTGCACCTGCTGTAACCCTACCATACCTGATTCCAACAAGAAGCCTGCTTGTTTTAAAACACATATGTGGACAGCTTTGTGTTCAACCAAACTCGACTCTGCCTTGCCAAGACCCGCGCTGCCCGTGCTGCCTGTCCATTCCCGTGACGCCCGTTCATCCCCCCGCCGTCCACCCATCCCCACGCTGCCTGTCCATCCTCCGCTGCCCGTCCATCCCCACACCTCCGTTCACCTCCGCCACCCGTCCATCCCCACGCCTCCTGTCCATCCCCCGCACCTGTCCATCCCCACACCTCCGTTCACCTCCGCCACCCGTCCATCCCCACACCTCCTGTCCATCCCCCGCACCCGTCCATCCCCACACCTCCGTTCACCCCTGCCACCCGTCCATCCCCACACCGCCTGTCCATCCCCCGCACCCGTCCATCCCCACACCTCCGTTCACCCCTGCCACCCGTCCATCCCCACGCCGCCTGTCCATCCCCTGCACCTGTCCATTCCCACACCTCCCCCGTACCCGTCCATCCCCACACCTCCGTTCACCCCTGCCACCTGTCCATCCCCATGCTGCCTGTTCATCCCCCGCTGCCTGTCCATCTCCACGGCCCCCCGTCCATCCCCGCGCTCCCTGTCCATCTCCACGTTCCGGTCCATCCCTGTGCCCCGGTCCATCCCCGCGCCACCTCATGCTGTCTGTGCTGTCCCTCCATCCCAGGGCTGCCTGTCCATCCATGCTTCCACTTACTAGAGGGAGACAGAGGCTGGGGTGAGGGGCTGCCACGGCAGGACCCTGCCCTGGAGGGTGAGAGGGCAGCCGGTGGCGGACGTGGCAGATGCCACAGGGCCCGTGGGCACCCAGGAGGGTCAACAACCCAGGGCAGCGGGGGCAGGAGGTGAGGGCATGAGAGAACGCTGAGGCCTGCAGGCAACCCAGGGTGGACTGGACCACAGGCAGCAAAGGGCGTTCAAGGGTTCTGCGGGGGCTGAGATGGGAGAGTCTGCCCTTTAGAGGGACCACTGAACCTTTGAACACTTGAGTTCTGTTGACAGAGACATCGGTGTGAGCTTAACTGTGCAGCAGATGGAGTGGGAGGCCACCCAAAAGTCTGAGAAGAGGAGCACGGGGAGGTGAACTGTGGCCTGTCCCGGGCTGGGGCCGGGTCCAGCCTGCCACCTGCTTTTGTAAATGAAGTTTCACTGGAACGCAGCCATGCTCATTAATTTACATGCTGCCTGCAGTAGCTTCCTCAGTACAGAGGCAGAGCTGAGCAGCTGCCCACAAAGCCAGGAGTATTTCTACCTGCCCTTTTTAGGCACACCTGCTGAGCCACGGCCCGTTCCTCTGGTAAAACAGCATACAGCCACGACATGGTCTTGTGAAGTTTCCAGCAACAGGGAAAATGCCTACGTGATATCTCAGCTTCACAACAGCAAACTATAAAGTGGCATATACAACAAGACCTCACTCAAAGTGTGTAAAAATCGGGTTGAAAGCAACATACTAAACTTTTAGAGGTAATTCTCTCTGGTGCGTGAGATGATGAGCAGTTTTATTTTGCCGGTGATTTCCTTGAAGACACTGTAAGATACCTGAGAGGCTTTCCCACGCTCCTCTGACTCGGCGTCAGGCCGGGATGCTCGGGGCCCCGGGAGGAGACACTGCCTGTGGTGGAACAAGAATAAAACATGAGCTGTTTGTGTACACGTCCTGCTGCTTTGAGCACCACAGCCAGGACAGTCTGCCGCGCTTCCTGGTAGCGGTCTCTGCCTCCCCGCCACGAGGGCAGCGGCAGGCAAGGAGCGACAAACCACAAACAGAAAACCGGTCCCTCAGGTCGCTCACACCCTGGTGGAAACACGACACCCTGAGAAGCCCTGGGTCTTCCATGTGAGGATGTAAATATCCTGCTTTTAGGCACCTCTGCAGCTCAGTGACTATTTAAGCCACGTGAATCATTGGCAGCTGGACAACGAGGCCTGGAAACCAACCAGCCAGTCCCGGCTGAGTTTCAGCCTCACTTAGGGGCTCTCAGCCTGTGGGCTCCTCCGGGGTGCCTGCCTGTCACGTGGGCAGCCGTGGGCACGCAGAGTATGCCTGGCATACACAGGTGCTCAACGGGAATCTGCAGCAGGAGCTTCTCCCCCACCTCTCCCAGGCCTTGGCTCCTGCTACCCGGAGAACTGCCGGAAGGGCAAAAGCGCATCCAGAGTTCTTTCAGCGGCTGACCCGTGCTCTGCCTTCTCCAGGTGCCTTGTAACATGAAAGGAGAGATGTGGCAACTCGGTTCTCAAGCAGCAGTGCTCAAGGGCCAGCAGACCCCAGGCTGGGAAAGCCCCGGGCAGGGGAGCCCGAGCGTCAGGCTTCCCCAGCGCAGTGGCTGGTGACTGCCAGTGCCCTGCCTGCTGCGGCACATTGGGGGACGCTGGCCTGTGGGGCAGGAGGCCCCGAACACAAGGCAGCCTCCATACCCCTGACTGGGGTCTTGTCTTTGCCCCCGTGCATGGGCGAAGGTGCAGACCTGGCGAGGAGGCTGCTTGTGAGAGGCCCCACAGCTCCCGAGTCTGCAGGTGACCCTGAGACGATCCCAAAGAACAGCAGGAAAGCTGTGCGAGTGCAGCCTTCACTGTCTTTCTGGCAGTTTGGCATCGGGAGGCCGTAGACCTGCAGGCTGTCCTCCCAGGACAGCCCGTTCCTAGAGGCAGGAGGCCACAGTGAGCACACCTCTGATATGAAAGCCAACAAATCCACAGCCCGTGTCCAGAGCCACTCCCAAGCCTGGACAGCCCATTCCGCCCACCCACCCGATCCCCCATGAGAACCACAACGATCTTGCTAGATCTCCCCTCACTCCCCCGCCGGGGGCTCTGGGGAACCTCGGGGGAAACTCCTTTCCTCCTCATCTGCTGGCCTCACACCACCTGATGAAAACAAAACCCTACACATTTAATACACAGAACCAAACAGCAGCAATGGCAGATATCTTTTGCTAGCTTATGCTCAATACTATATGGTTATTTGAAATTGTTTCCCATTTACCCGATGGGAAGTTTTTGAGATAACTATTATCAAGAGATGAAGAGATTGAGGACCCAAGAGGCCAACAACTCACCCAGGGTCCGGCGAGCAGGGCTCAGAGAGCCAAGTGTGGGCTGTGGGATCTCGGACCCAAAAGACTCCGCCGCTCAGGCCCCTGTATGTCCCACAGGGCGCCCGGAATCCTGACGAGTCCTTCAGATTCTGACTGAGAATCAAGTCACACCAGGCATCATCTCAAAGAGCAGTGACTCAGAGAAAGGGGCCCTGGAAGTGCTAGAGGAAGGCCTGAAAGCCATCCAGAGCCAGGCCTCTCTCGAAAGCACAGTGTGCAGGTGTGGGAGGAGCCCCTCAGGGTGCCAAGGGTGCTGTGTTTCAGCCCCACTAAGAGGTGGGTGAGCAGAGGGATATCTATCCCCACGACACCTCCCAGCGCCGCGCAGAGACCTTCACTCAGGACAGTAACGTGACGTGATGCATTTCACAGATGCCCATCTGAACAATTTAACTAAAAACATGTTGACATTTGAAAAGGGTAAGTTTCAACGATCTGGGTGTGGAACAGGCTGCTTCCCAGTGACACCAGACCTGCCATATTGTGTTCCGGAGAGGACTGCGTGCTGTGGAGTGGGTGCCCTGCGCCCCTGCCAACAGGTCAGACAGCCCCACACACTGTGCAGTGACCACAGGGCAGACAATGACAGAGGGCCCGCCTGCCACAATCAGCAAATTATCTCTACGAAACCAAGTATGAAACTGGACAAAATGGTAGAAACAACAGTTCAGGCCTCTGGAAATCAACTCAAGGCAGACAACACATTGGAAAACATTGACTCCTGAAATCCACAGCAGCTTTCTGAGGAGCAGGACTGGGCTTCCCAGCCTGAGGCTGCTCCACCTGCCCCTACTTCACGCTGCCAGCAAGAGCACAGCTGCACCAGGGTGGACGGCTGAGGACCAGCAGCTTTGCTTCCAGAGTGGGTGGGCTCAAGGTGGGAGGAGAACACTTTCATCAGCCACGAGAGGTCCACCTGCAGGACCTGGAGAGGCCCACAGCCCTGACTGAGGAGGGCTGGGGAGAGGAGGGACCAGTCAGAAAAATAGCGGGGAGAGCCAGAGAGAGACAGCTCCCCGGAACCCTGGCCGACAGAAGCAGCACACACAGCAAGTGCAGGGAAACCCAGCGCAGCTGCAGAAGTGACCCCACGGGGGCCAGGAACTGGCTGGATGCCAGCTCCCCACACGCACAGATTGTCGGCCGTGGGGAGCTGCAGGAATGTGACTATTGGGGCACAACCACAGACAGAGTGTGGGCCGGCCGCCGAGCTGTAAAGACAAGCGGACACCCAGGCTCAACACCAACAGCAGAAACCGCGCAAACGCGTCTGCGGCAGCTGTGGACACAGATTCTCCAGTTTATGTCCAGGTAAAATACCCAAGCAAACAAAAACCAATCAAACAACCTCATATACAAATATGAGAATCTGGACTTGCTGAAATACAGTACCTGGACTGTCCAGATTGCAGCCCCAAATTACGGGATCAGCAAAGAAACAGAAACCTGACCACACTCCGGGAAAAAGGCCAAGGGCAGAAGCCCACACTGCGTGGCCCAGCTTGCATCTCCTAAGGACTCCAGAGCGGCTACTACAAATGAGTCTGAAGAATTACAGAAAAATATGATGACTGTACCTCAGCATACAGGGCTTTCAACACGAAAACAGAAACACTAAAAAAAAAAAAAAAAAAAAAAGAAAAGAACCAAGAAGGGAACATTTTCTAACTCATTCTACGAGGACAGAATGAGGTTCTGACACCAAAACCGGACAGAGACGTTACAAGGAAAGAAAGCTGCAGACAGTATCTCTCATGAATACAGACACAAAATTCCTCAACAAAATACTAGCAAACCAAATCCAGCAGCATGGAAGAAGGATTGTTCACTATGACCGACTGGGATTCATCCCAGGAATGCAAAGTTACCTCAACATACAGAGGTCAACACCATATTAACATACTCTACCAGTGGATGAAATGACCTCTGAGAACACGTAACCGTCATAGAACAAAGAACAAAACCCGACGGTCATCTTGAAAGATAAAAATTTAACACTTCTTCATGACAAAAAGGAGCAGAGGGAACTCAGCCCTCTAAAGGGTGCCTCCAGGAAACCCTCGGTGAGCACCACGTGCCACGGAGAGAGGCTGAACGTTTCCTCCTGAGATCAGGAACAGAACAAAGACAAGGATACCTGCCCTTGCCACTTGTATTCAACATTGTGTTGAAGTAGGTTCTAGCAAGGGCAGTTAGGCGAGAAAAATAAATCAAAGTCCTGCAGTGGGGTGGGAAGTGAAAAAATAAAAATAAAAGATAAATAAAAGGTGCCATGTTTGGAAAGGAAAAAGTAAAACAGTCTCTACTTGCAGATGACATGATTTGACATACAGAAAACTCTAGGGAATCCACGAAAAATCCCCGGAGCTAATAAATGAACTCAGTAGACTGCAGGACACAAGATCCATCTATAAAAATCTGTTGTATTTCTATGTACTAGCAATGAAAATCTGAAAACAAAAGTTAGAAAACAATTATATTTACAATAGCACCAAAAATAGCAAACTACTTAGGAAAAAATTTTACCAATGAAGTGCAAGACCTCTTCACTGAAAACTACAAAATACTGTTGAAAGAGATCAAAGACCTAAACAAAGGGAAAGCTATATCCAACATTCATAGATTGGGAGACACAATATTAGTATTAGGCGGCGACACTTCCTAAATTGATGTACAAAGTGAATTAAAGCTCTACCACTTGCTTTGCCGGCAGAAATGGGAAAATTGATCCTGAAATGCATATGGAAATGCAAGGAACTCAGAATAGGCCAAAAAAAAATCTTAAAAAAGAACAAAATTGGAAAACGCACACTTCATGATTTCAAAAATGACTAAAAAGCTATAGTAAGTGAAAGACAAAAAGAAAATTACTGAAAGCAGCAAGAGAAAAGCAGCTCATCAGCTACAGGAGAACGGTATGATTAACGACTGCCTTCTCATCAGAAATCATGGAAGTGGCTGGGCACGGTGGCTCATGCCTGTAATCCCGGCTCTTTGGGAGGCCAAGGCTGGTGAATAGCTTGAGAGCAACAGTCCAAGGCCAGCCTTGGGAAACATGACGAAACCCTGTTTCTACAAAAAACTGACAAATTGGCTGGGCGTGGTGGCTCACGCCTGTAATCCCAGCATAGTGGGCAAGGTGGGCAGATCACCTGAGGTCAGGAGTTCAAGAGTAGCCTGGCCAACATGGTAAAGCCCAATCTCTACTAAAAGTATAAAAATTAGCCAGGTGTGGTGGCGGATGCCTGTAATCCTGGCTACTCCAGAGGCTGAGGCAGGAGAATCACTTGAACCTAGAAGGTGAAGGTTGCAGTGAGATCGCACCATTCCACTCCATCTTGGGTGACAGAGTGAGATTCGGTCTCAAAAAAATTAAAAAAATAAAAATTAGCTGGGTGTGGTGGTGCATGTCTACAGTCCCAGCTACTCGGGAGGCTGAGGTGCCAGGATCGATCGAGCCCAGGAGGTCCAGGCTGCAGTGAGCTATGGTCAAGCCACTGCACTCTAGCCTGAG